TGAAGCCTCTACTTAACCGAGTACTAATAAAATAAGGGCAAACGATTGTGGTTTTAATGCCACGTTTTCCTGCATGATACAGTTCTGAATTGATGGTTTCCATCATTCCAATGATTGCACTCTTACTTGCAGAATAATCTGAGAAGTGAAGAAAGARGAAATATCCAAAATGTCAAAAGCACCAGAGTAAAAGCTATATAGAGAATAGTATTCCTTGTTATAAAATTTAAGCCATAATACTAGTTAGTTCTATCATTAGCTGACATGTAATTAGTATTTTAAGAACATTGGTGATGCTGAATCTGGAGATGAATGGCTCTTCCCATGAATGATGCACAGTTGCCTAAGGATAAGATTAATCCTTTTCAGAGGAATTTTTTTCAATGCAGTACAGAGAGATKTAGGAAGATGAGTTTGTTCAGCATTTTCTGTACRTTTSCAGATACTCTGATACAAACCAGGCATTCTTTCASTTCACAATGYCTTYRATTTTAATTTCACASGTTMMATTTCAGAAAGAACTATTTCTAGTGGTAAAATGTAAATACTCTATAAATGCTGCTTCGATTATTACTTCTGATTTGCCCTGCAGCTAAAATATGATTTTGATTGCCCAGGAAGACTCAGTCTTCTCCGACTTTTATTGTTGGATGAATGTATGGAACTCCATACTTGGAGACAATCTGCCCTCACAGAGCCCTGTGCAACCTGATCTAAGCTGGGCCTGTTTTTATTTGGTGATATGGACCAAGTGATGTTCAGAGATTGCTTCCAACACAAATCACTCTACAATTTTCCAGCTGTAAGAAACTATTTTAATATAGTGCTTCAGGTGTGGTTTCCTAGGCTTTTTCAAATGTATGTGATAATATCTATTAGATGCAATGAAATCCAATTATGCTAAAAGACTGATGTCAAAGACTGGCATCACAGGTAGTTTGCTATTCCTCAGGAGTTCACCCACAGTGAATGATGGAACCACACAGCCTAAAARTACATATCTAAGGTGTAAAAGGTTAWAATGGATGGATGGGCAGCTCCTCTCCCATCAGCCTTACCGTTATATGATRACAGCTGAGTGTGACCTGTATTWTCAATACCAAATATGATCACTCGATAACAGGTGRCAAATAAACACMACAGTACTGCTAGCATCAATCARCCAAAGACATAAGAGACACTTATTACAATGAAGKTCAAATTCCCTTAGGGTGACCTCAGAGATACAATCAGCATGTAAGGGAGKCTTGAGGAGAGACTGGGCAGCAGACACAGACTGATGWMAYAGGCAGGACTGGAGCACACTGCTCTCGTGAGGGAAACAGCTGAGAATACTGAGCTGTGAAATTGCTTAAACCACACTTAATTCAAACTAATTTTACTGAAAACTATGCCCAAATTCTTTCTGCATCTGAAAACCATTGTCCGACTAAATGTATAGCTCCAGGTATAACCCACGTGTGGGTCTCAGGTGTCTGAAGATTCATCTGCAGAAATCCTGACATGAGAAAGCGTTAGACAGCCTGTATGCAGGGCTCTCTCCCAGTGCACATGTACAAGCTGTGTTGTCCTTCTCATGTGGASAAAGGCAGTCTGTAATCAGACAGTAAAATCTGCAGAGAGCTCCCTGTGCCAYTCAGGCRAAGTGACAYCATCACACCTCAGTACAGCATCACCTTTGGCATCCACAGGTTCTTSTCAGTACAYGCTGCTTAAGCCAAGCATTTGTGASGTCTTTGAGAAAAGTGATTAGTACATAGATCTAATTTGTAATGGCAGTTGGCAATACTAACCTGACATCCTGTAGAATCCCAGGATTCCAGCTGTGCTGGCTGTGCTAACCAGGTGGCCACGGTTACAGGCTACCATGGCTGGAAGAAAGGCCTTGCAAGTCTAAAAGAATAGAAATATATAGAAAAAAATATAGAAAAAAATTTAAAGAAATTTTAATTTCATTAAAATTCCCCTTTATAAATAGGCACGAACAAAATGTTGCATTCAAAATTAGGCTATACAAGCTGATTTGCTTTCTGGGCCTTYGATATACAAGAAGCCCCACTGACCTTTTATCTCTGTGTCAAATTTTAAATGAGAGACAGTGTTTTCTAGAATGAATGCCTTCTATCTGAAGATCTAACAGTATTATAATGATCTTAATAAAAGCAGCAAGGTTTGTATTTTCTGTTTCCTGGTTCCCCTCAATTTGAATATTTGAGACTATTGTCAAACGTTTGGTACACAAGAGGGAGCCAGAAGTCAACACATYGAGGGGAGTTCAGTTGTSTGTGGGCCCTTTTTGTTACAAACTGAAATGACTGACAATTCCAGTACTCMAGAACACTGCTGTGGGTGATACTAATTGGGAAGGATGCTAGTGTTTTATGAAGGGGGAGAAAAGAAAAAAGAGACAGGAGCAGTTACAATTTTTTTTTCAATAGCTGATTTGACTCCAGATGTGAGTGCCTTGTATATCACTATGCCCCTGTCCTGTGCTTCTTCAGACCTGTCAGGGCAAACACCTCTCCCGTCTGTTTTTCTTAAGTATTTGGAAGAATGATGCAGTGTGTTTGGGGAATGCTTAGAGGACTTCTATCTTATTGATTTTCCATTKAGAATTGCCTTTTAACAAAGGAGTTGCAGTCCCATATTATCCCYGTATGCAGACTATTCACTGAGGCATATAAACAAAGTGTGCAAGAAGGGGCAATGGTAATACCAACAAAAATCCCCAAACTCCTAAATTCAGCTGCRACACTAAATAACTGCAACTTCTTTTAGAGGTAAGAAAGCAAAACAAATTCTTACTAGCTTGAATAGCTTTCTATATATTTTAGCAGATGTTGAGTAGGAATGTGAGCACAGCCTGAAGACTGACACCAACATGTGCAGCATGAAACYATTGAATCATTTAGGCTGGAAAAGACCTTTAAGATCATTGAGTCCATCTCGAAATGTAACACTGCCAAGTCTGCCAGTAAACCATGGTTGTGTCTCTTTGAATGCTACAATTCTCTTAGTCAAAGCCTTCTGATGCCAACAAACATCAGGAGCATCGAAGTCACGTGCCATCAGGTCAGYATTACCTTCAACCACAGCTGCTACAGGTAGAGTGTACTTCATGATACAATTGTATAAACTTTGATTTACCAGAGTGCTCAGCCAGGTTTGTGTTAACATTACTGAAACATATTGGGGAGACTGTCAGTGTGGGTGTCTCCAMTTACAGGCTGATTACAAAAACATATATTCCCCCAATCAAGATACTTCACATCTGTATTCCAAGCTGAGTTTTTAAGGTAGATGCCACCATTGTGATTTTCACACCAWAATACTTGTCTGTACCTTTTGGTCACTCAGTAGTCAAAAACCACAAAAACTTTACCCAGACTTGAGAGAAGAAGTTGATTCTGAAGGTCTTTTCAAAATCTTCGTCTGTAAGGTCACAGAACTTTTTCCCAGTCAGTATGCCAGCATTATTGATTAGAATAGTAACATCTCCAACTTCTTTTCTAACCTGAATAAAAGAAAGGGTGAACAGAAAGCTTTAGAAACTACCCTTKCCTCTGGTGCTTCATTTATGAAAATGTTTAGTAACATTTGCAGTAATTGGTATATATGAAAAAAATAAGTATGTAAGAACTGTGGTATTCCATCAGATCAAAGGTCCATCTAAGCTCCCTAGCCCTTGTCTCATGGTAGAAAGCAATGAAAAAGGGACCCAGGCTCTAAGGTCTCTGGTGTATTTAACTTTTCACATGCTGCAACTTGGGATTTTTTGAGAGGTAAAATGTAATTATATAATTTAATTTAATATATCCCAATAATTCTCTACCCTGTCCCCCTCCATGAGTTTGTCTAATTGCTCTCCAAACTCCAGAAGATCTTCCACAAAAATATAAGGTTGTAAGTTCCAAAGCTTTAGTGTGCTCTGTAAGCAAGTTTTAACTTCAATCTAGAATACTTCTCATCCCCTATTTTTTTATACTGTTAGAACCTGCAATGCTCTGCTAAGTCTTTTTAACCCCTTTTCCATGTAATTTTTATTGAACTGGAAAAAATTCAGCACAGATAACTGGGGGATACCAATCCTTTAAGTACAAAAGCATCTACCATTAAATAGGTAGATAGGTGGATAGGTAGATAGATAGACAGATAGACARAATATTAATTAGCTCCATTTGGGTTTTTTTTCTCCCAAAGATCTTGTCCCATGAGTTGGATTTTTATCAAAGTAGATGAACAAAGTTTACTTATAGTATGAAAAATCAGTCTCACAGATTTCTCTGCTGAAGGTGGATGGTTATCTGGGGGGGGGGGGGCGGTCTCCAAAATTACAGTATGATTACTAAAACAAAGAAATCCCACGTGCTGATGTTTGGCAATTTGGAAACAGGTGTTTGGATCTGATGCCCCAACATTTGACCTTTCTTTGACTCTATCAGTGAAGCTTAGTGTCCAGTGAAGATTTGTTTGATATTTCTCCAGCTGTGTCAGGTTTAGTCCTTCTCACAGACAAATAGAGCTCTCATACCAACACTTTTCCACCTGCATAAATTAATGCAAATCTAAACACTGCTTGGTATGGCAGGAATACTCAATTCTTCCTTTGTGGAATACATCTGTACTTTCTCCACGCTCTTTTAACTGCTGTCAGTCCCTATGATGATCCTCTTTTTTTTTTCACATGGCAATCTATTTTCATCAATGGCAGCATTTTATTCAGCATGATATAATTTGTCCTGTTTACTCACTGCCACAAAATGTGTCAAGCTTGGCTTCCAGACAGAAAAAGTCAAGCTGATTGTTCTACGTTATGTGTTTTTSTAGGGTCCATTAATTCTATTGCTAATGTAATTTTCACCAGTTTTCTGTAAGGCCTGTAGTTTGTGTCCTCTCAAGTGCCCTTTGGCTTATTTCCTATGCTTTGTTCCTTGATTGTCTATTATAACAAAACACACAACCTGTGCTTCTGGCCCATCAGATCTTGTCTGACTTCCTTCAGAATTCCCAGGTGGACACCACTTGTTCCTGAAAATGAATTGCTGTTCACTTGACCAGTTTGTTCTAAARCCTCTTATTTGGGGGCTTCAATGGTCTCTTTTTTTTTTTTTTTTCTCCTAGAAAGAAAACCTACATTATGGGAAAATACCTMGGGTTTTCTGCAATGAGTATACAAAATAAATAAATAAATTTAATTTTCTTGCTATTGCTTTCTCTTCTGGGTCAAAGATCAAGACTTTTTATATTGCCAATCAAAAATTTGCAGGTATTTCCAAGAGTAGTGGAGGCCCATTGTTGAAAATTTCTGCATTTAAGAAAATTTCTGTCTCCACCAGGGCTGATCAATACATGCAATTATCGATGAATATGGTGGTGTTGTTAATAATTTGACACCTTAACAGTAATTTTCACATTTTCAACTGCTCCTTAAGTTTCTATGAGCACRTCAGTCTGGGCACTTCAGCAGAGTGTTTGCTGATGTGGGCATGGCAARTTCTGCAGRCTGSAGTCTGGTGGCTGATTTGGTCCATGTGTTTGAAGACAGAAAATTACTGRAGGTCACAAAATAAACCTTTTGAGATTCTGCTAAAATAAGAGCAAACAATTACAAAATATTTAGTATGGACAAKGAAGTCCAACAAAGAAATTAACTACATAAGCTTAAGTTACTATGATTTTGATGGGTGTCTTTGCAAGAAGCAGAAAGTATCTATGGGAATAGGGATTTAATGCCAATTAAAAACATTATTTAAAAATATATCTGATCTTGCTAAACTCTAACATAAGAGGTTTTTTTTTTTTTTTTTTCCTATTTGCAAAAAGAAATTTCAAGAAGAAATGCTGTTTGATTTATGGTATCATTTCAAATAAAGATCAAATGTCATATATGAACTAATGCCCACAAGTTGCTCAGACAGAAATTTCACCTCACTATAAAGTGATGACGGATATTAAGATTGCTGAAATTACAGCACTGGCCCATAATTTTCACAGTGATTATCAATGTCTCGCACAGGTGAGAGGAATGCACCATCTGTACTGACCAAGTCCCTGGCAAGGATCATACTCCTCGAACACTGTGTATTGTGTCAGCACAGGACTCAACACCCTGCCCATCTCTGCAGACATAATATTGTGGTACCATAAATATATCCTCATTACCACAGCCCAAGGAATACCAGGATATCGCCTGTGGTGCTCAACACCTCRCACCAATGGCCCCGAGTGGAATATTTTTCTGTGCAGTGTTAGRGAGCTGTGCCCCATGTGCTACTTACGARTATGGGTAAAATAATTCCTTGCTGATTGTGAGTGTGGGAATTSCAGTTCCAGATACAGATCCTGAATCCAACTTACCCATTGGAAGTACTTTTCCTCAGAAACATTATTTTAAAATTTCATAACCTTGGTCAGAAAGGCTTAATCTGACTTGGTTAAAATTAAAAGCAACAACCACCAAATGAAGAGCCGATCCCTCCCAACCCCCCTTTCCACTTACAATTCATAGAAAACCAATGTTACATTTCAAGACTGTTCTGAAACAATCTATCAACATTCATGTCATAAAATATTTTAGCTGATTTCTCTGATGTATGCCTTCAGACAGATATCAAAGATATTCTTAAGTGACTTGAGAGTCATGTATATATAAGCACATACATCAAGAATTAACAGAAGTTTTCATTTGGATAAAGGGGCAGAGTGGCTAAGCGGATTATAAGTGAAGTTATACTGGGAAGTATTTTCAGGCAGTTTAAGGAAAAGCAAAAATTAATGTGACTTCAATGTCTAATTTCTGAACTCTGACAATAATAGCAATAATAATAATAAGTACTAACAGTTCAGAAGGCAAAGGTCAGAAGAGTTGAAGAGTTTCATTAATAATGCAGCTTTTCTCTACCATATTTTCCAGATCAAAAATTGATCAAAAAATGAATCATCATTTTGACTGGGGATCAGCCACATCCTAATGACATTTCTGAGAACATTACACCCCACATCAAACTTAAAGCACTACAGTTTTCTAAACAAAYAGGCCAAGGGAAGAACCTCCCTTTTACAATGTCGACTGATAGTTCTTTTAAAAAAGTATTGATATCTGAAAGAAATTTTAAAGCCTGAATAAGGTAATAAATGGAATTAATCTCTGCTGCATGTTTTATCATATTCTTAATCTAAACATTACTGTCTCACAGTGAAGACTGGAAAATACTAAACCCAGATACTTTATTGCAACCTTAGTGGAAATTCAGTCTAGAAACCACTTGCCAGAAAGAGAGAGACATTGCCCTACATGATTACTTCTCTATAGGGAATAGCATGATTTCTAAAAAAAAAAACCCAATAAATTCAGTTAGATATTCTATTAAAGAGAAGCAAGAATCCAGATCTTACCTTDTCTGCCTGTTCGTAGACATCCTGCCTGTTGCTGCAGTCACAATGGTAGACAAAGACCCGGCCGGCTCCCTTCTGTTGGGCTAATCTGCTTGTTTCTTTGTTACCTTCATCATCGATGTCCCAAAGAACCAAAGTTACTCCCAAAGGAGCCARTTTTAAGGCAACCTGCTTTCCAATCCCATTTGCAGAGCCAGTAATAAGTACAATTTCACCAGCAAAGGATTTTTTTTTGCATAGAGGAAATATACAGAAGAAGTTCTCGATGASTAAATAGATTAAAAATTTCAAGTACTGTAGTACTTTCCGGATGCTTCTGAAGTTGCACATGATTTTTCAGGTACAAGCACCAGTCTTCTGTTTTGTAAATCCAGAAACACAATACGTATTAACAGTGAGATATGGACTGAGAAGAAGTGGTTGACCTTCAAACAGCAAGTTCTTG